GAGAGAGAGAGAGAGAAGGATTTATGTATATTTATATATATAATTAAAAATATGCTATTCAATTATAAAAATTCAGTTTTTATATATATGACAAAATATACGTAAAATAAGTGTATGTATGTATTCTTATTGGCGTAAAGAATTGAACATCATTGTGTGTGTGCGTGTGTTTATTTCATCTCCCGCGCAAAAACGTTAAGAATTTAATGATATTTATTATTTATTTTTTTTAACTGTAGATAATATTTTAATATTTGAATGTCCACTATTAAAAAATTATGGGGACGATAGAAGTTACATTTCCATTTGGTGGACAACCAGGAAAAATATTGAAATGGAGAGTTCGAATGGATACGATGGTTTCAGCGGGTAGAGTGTTACTTTTATATCAAAATGTTACTTCAGAAACGGAAGATAGTAAAGGACCTGAGAAAAAATATCGAGCTACACGATTTGGCCGTGTTACAAACATTTTAGCAAAAGAAGGAGATGTAGTACAACCTGGGTACATATTCTTAACCTTGTATTTACGTGATATTTTGATATTTAGTATATTGAAATAGTATAACATTGAATATATTATTTCTTATGCAAATAATATCAATTAAAAAGATATTGTTTTAATAAAATTATTTTTATATTTTTATCTTTAAATTTATAAGTAACTCATGTTATAGGCAAGTGATAATGACATTAGAAGGATGTAAACATCCTACTGTAATGAAAGATCTATGTGCAGAATGTGGTGTAGACTTAAGAGTTGAAGGAATTGGTAAAGAAAATGAAAGTACAAAAATATCACAAGCTAGTGTACCAATGGTACATAGTGTACCAGAATTAAAAGTATGTCCAGAATTGGCTGAAAAGATTGGAAAGGAAGATGAACAACGGCTTTTGAATGATCGTAAATTAGCATTACTTGTAGATCTTGATCAAACAATTGTTCATACAACAAATGATAATGTTCCTCCTAATATGAAGGTAAATATTTTGTTAATAATATGTAATAATATAAGATTAAATTAACAATATAAATATTATTTATATATTTTTAAGGATGTTTATCATTATCAACTTTATGGGCCAAATTCTCCATGGTATCATACTCGTTTAAGGCCTAATACTCGACACTTTCTTTCTGAAATGAGTCGTTTATATGAATTACATATATGTACATTTGGAGCAAGAAACTATGCACATACTGTAGCAGCATTATTGGATAAAGATGGAACTTTATTTTCTCATAGAATACTTTCAAGAGATGAATGTTTTGATCCTGCATCAAAAACAGCTAATCTTAAGTATGATTATAAAATTCTTATCTTATGAAAAGAGATTTTATCTTATTAAATAATTTGTTACAGAGCTTTATTTCCATGTGGGGATGATTTAGTATGTATTATAGATGATAGGGAGGATGTATGGCAAGGATGTGGGAATTTAGTTCAAGTTAAACCTTATCACTTTTTTCGTCATACTGGTGACATACATGCACCTCCAGGATTAGAAAAAAATGATATTTCAATTTTACCCGAATTACAAAATATAAATGAGATTTGCACTGATGAAAATATAGGTGAAACAGATAAAAATAGTACATCTGAATTAACAAATGAAAGGAATAGAGTTGATAATGATTTTAAAAAAGAGATTAAAGAAATTGTTGAAAGTAAAGAAAATGAACATGAATTTATAGAAAAAAATGATGAAAATACCAAAGATGACATTAAGAATAATGTTGATCTAAATCCTAATAATGAAAACAAAGATAATAAAACATCAGAAACAAAGGAAAGTTTAATATTATCTGAATCAATACAAGATATTAAAAATGTGGATAAAAATCCTGATGAAAATAATATTTTAGATGAAGATGATGATGATTATTTATTATATTTAGAAGATATTCTTCGTAGAATTCATACTGAATTTTATGCTACTATAGAAAAAGAAGGTGGAAATCGGAAATCATTAAGAGACATTATTCCACGAGTAAGAGCTCAAGTGTTAAAAGGAGTACATTTAACTTTTAGTGGATTAATACCAACTCATCAAAAACTTCATCAAAGTCGAGCTTATAAAGTTGCCAGAGCATTTGGAGCAGAAGTAGCACAAGTAATATTAATTTTTTTTTATTATTTTTTTTTTAATATCTTCATTTTAATATATTATTATATTGTAGGATTTATCAGAAAAAACTACTCATCTAGTTGCTATAAGACCTGGTACAGCAAAGGCTAACACAGCAAAAAAAAATTCGAATATAAAAATTGTAAATCCAGATTGGCTTTGGACTTGTGCAGAACGTTGGGAACATGTTGATGAGCGTTTATTTCCACTTACTACGAAGGTATATAAATATTATAAAAATCATCAATTTTAATGAAAATAACAAAAATGATAAATAATAAATTTAATTTTAATTATTTGTATAATAATTATATTTTTGCAGGCACGTGCGTCTAGAATTCCGCCTCCACATTGTAGTAGTCCAGAACGAATAGAAGAACCAGAAAAAAATATAGAAGACAATTTTGCTGATAGTATTAATCCTTTAATGTCATTCACACCAGAAGAAATAGAAATTATGGATAAAGAAGTTGAAGAAGATATGGATGACCAAGAATTAGATGCACCAGCTTTTGATACAGAGGATTTAGATGATGAAGAAGCATGTGATAAAAAAACTTTTCACAGAAGTTCTGATTCTGATGATTCTACAAATCATGATCGTATGTTTAGTTTATATATTTTATTTTATATGACTAAAATATTAATATAGAAGGATATTAAATTTTAAATTAACTAAAAAATTACATAACAAAAACATACTCATTTTAAAAATTATTTTGTTTTATTTGTATATTTAACGACTATAAATATTTTGCAAACTGTAAGACATAAAAAAAATTTTGAAAAAATTAAAAGTGCAAACAAAAAATTTATTTTAAATTATTTATTTTTTTTAAATAATAATATATTTATTTTATTATATATAAGTAGAATTTATAAAAAAAATTTTTTTAATTATTATTTGAATTTTTTAATAGGAAGCAATATAAATGAACCAATAAGAAAAAAAAGAAATTTTCTAATGAAAGTTCAGAAGATGATCATTCATCAAGTGACAAAGATACATTAGATGATGAAGATGATGATCCTGTAACACGTTTTAGAAGAGGAGAAAGTTTACCTGATGATTTAGATTTAGGTGATAATTCACAAGATTCAGTTGAAGATTTGGAAATAATGGATAATGAAGATGAGCGAGAATGGAATGAAATGGGAGCAGCACTTGAAAGAGAATTTCTTTCTGAATAATTCATTAACAACCTATTTTGCTTTTATGAATTAATTTTCATATTATTTGTAAATTTTGAATCGATTGTTGTCAATTTTTAAAATGTTTGTAGAATTCTGATTCATGTAGTTTGCAATTTTATAAAAAACTTAAAACAATGTTTTTAACAAAAAAAATATAAAAGAATTATTTTGTATTTAATTACTAAATTTAAAATATATGCATAGAAATATAAAGTTAATATTATTTCTATTAATCATTTATGATGGTTTTATTAGTTGTAAAAAAATGTTAATTGTATATTAATATGTATAAATAATGAATACGTAAAATGTTTAATTTTTATTTACAAATTAATATTTGAAAAAAAATAAGTTAAATAAATTAAACATATTTTTTTCCAGAATTGATATTAATTTGAATAAAATAAATATAAGTTGTTTTCAATATATTATTATCTATTAATGTTTAAATATACATTGAGATATTATGGATTTATAGCATATGGATCAAAATCTTTTGAATCATCGCTATATTTCATATATGTCTTTTTACTTGTAAAATCTCGTTTGTTTTCCATGCTTCCTCTCTTTGGTAGTTCATTATATTTATACATGGATTTTAATTCTCCAAAGAGTTTAGCATCATCTTCTATGTTATCCCTAGATATATTAAATATAAAATTATAATTTCAAATAAATCATTTTAAATGATTGCAAAAATAAAAAAAATACATACTATATCTATACTACATTATAGTAATATTATATATAAAATAAAGAGTATATAATGTACCTATATTGTCCAACAACAACCTTTTTACCAGTAATAGGATCTGTAATATCACCTAGAGGATAAATAACTTCAACAACCTACAATGAATAATTGAAAATATAAATTATATAAAATATTGTGATATTCCAAATTTAATTTTTATAATATACATACTTTATGAGTGATGATTCGTGTTAATTTTTTTGGTAAATTTTGTATTAAAACTGTATCACCTGTTTTACAAAGTTTTTCAGGATCGTGAGCATAAATAAATTCATATTTGCTAAAGTACTGAAATATAATGAATGAATACATAACCTCAACTAATATTTATGAGAATATTTTAGGTTTACGCACCATTAAAAGATGTTCATCTAATTCTAAATGACGTACTCGTATTTTAGCAGCATTTTGTTTAGAAGAAGGTACACATACCCCCAATAGATAAGTAAAAATTTTTTTCGTTACAGTATTCTTTGCCATCATTTTGTATCCTATGTCACTTTGTACATATGCAAGCTGTATGTAATATGGATTTCATTAATTATAAAATAATTATTTCATGATTTATGAAAAGATAATCTAATTAATTTATATATTTATAACAATGTATTTTTTTTAATCCCTTTATTAATTCTTATGTTTCAATAAATTCGCATATATATCTTTATCATTTCTTAAAATTATTATGTATTAAATCTATGGCAGAATATTTTTTTTTTTATATGTATCATATAATATTTTTTAAAATTATTATAAATTTATAGGAAAATATATTTTTGAAAAATAATGTTCTATAATATTGTATTTATAAAATTTTTTGTAAAAAAAGAAATGTACTTAATATTTATATATCTTGAGCAATACAGATAGTATTATCAGCATCAGCATCCAAGAATACTCTAGGGGTCCATGAGCTTTAATAATAATTAATCTCCAACTACTAACAGCGTAACTCTAGTTTTCGATAATGGTGCACTCAATTACGCGCTTCCTTAATTAATAACATCGTAGGTACTGAATATAATTCGAACGAGGAAAGAATAGATAAGAAGATGAACATGTTGCATTTTATTTCATTATATTATATAATTGATTCATTATTTATTCTTTATTCTTTTTTTATGAAATTTGATGTCACGTTGAATTTTAATTACTTATAATACTTGACATTTTTTTTTAATTAATTTGTGTAGAACTATTTTGTGAAAAATAATTTGATGTATTCCAAAAAAAAAGTGTTTCACAAAAATTAGTTAAAAATATAACGAGTAAATTAAAAATATTATGGAAATATAAGTATATTTATAGTGCATAATTAAAAAATTGATGTTCAATTTATTAATAGTGAGTATTTATAATAAAATATAAATCGATATATCGAACTCGATATATTATGATCGAGTATAACAGTTAAGACAGTCCATTTTTTTCTTAGCGTAGAGATAAGTTTCGTTTTTTTTTGTTATAAAAAGAATTGTAATATAATATAATTAATTACAACAATAACAATAACAATAATAATAATAATAATAATAATAATAATAATAATAATAATAATTGAATTAAGCTCAATGTTCAATCAAAAATGTCAAAACAATTATTATAGACCGAGATTCTATGAAATTATATCAATACCAAGTCTATATTATTTATAATTTTTTAATAACATATTATTTAAAAAGTTTTAAAGTACGAAAAAAAATTTCACGTAAATCATGCTAATCAAGGTAAAGAAATAAAGAAGTCTCGTTCTGAATAAATAAGATAATAATTGCTAGATTGTTATGAATTTACGTTTATTTATAATGTTACACTAATTTAATAATCATATATTTTTCACTACAGTAAATTTTTACTTGCATGTATTTCGTGAATCAAGGCAGAGGATAGAAGGAAAGATATGATGCAAAGAGAAAGCTAGTTTGAAAGTTAGCGAAAAGTTGAAAACATTGGTAAAAGGAAAGACAGGAGTCTTTTGACAAAACCGAAGGAATTCCTTTTCTTCACTTTTCCTCGTTGATTCTCTTTCAGACCTTATTTTTGATCCTTGAAAGGAGATATCGTCGCTTAGCCTTTTTCTGTCAGTGTCCTCCCAGAGATTCTCCCGGGGTTATTTCCGACCTACAAAGGTTTGTCTATGCCGTATAGAGTAAGGGCGAAGTATTGTCGAAGGATACAAATGTGGGCAGATGTTACTCGGTGAAAAATTTCTAGCTCGACCGAGTCAGGCGAGTGCAATTTAGTTTTATAGGTGACTCGTCGAACTTGAGGCAGTCGAGTATTTCAAACATTCGCTTTTCATTTTACCGGCTACTAGATGAATACATTTTAACGACGTGATCATTTTACGAAAATACCTCACATTCACTCTTTGCTTTTACACTCTTGACTCTTTATCTCTGTCTGCCCATTTCATTGTGAGGAAAAATCATTATCATTCGAGAAATATTTTCGCAAAAATATACGAATATTTTAATCAAAATGCGTTGTAAATAGAGAGGATCAATCCGTGAAAGATTTTGTGGATGGAAATCATATTGGAAATGATATAATATAAATTTTAATGTTAATCACATTGGTATACGTATATATTTCAATTGATATTCTCTGGATAATAAATATTTATTGCCCTCTAATTGTTTTTCTGTAATACTTTTTCTTAGATCATAAATGGGCTATAATTTAATTTGCTTCAATTTTGGATTTTGAAAGAATAATCGAATATGATATTATTATTCCAATCCACTTTCTCGAGAAATTTCCTCTGCATTTTGATACATAACGTGATTTGCGATTTCGCGATAAACATTTTATCTTACTAGTTTCTTATTTTCTCAAGTTTCTTCCAATTTGTTCACAATTCGTGTAAATCAATCAATTAAAACAAATTAATAAGGATTATGATATATTAGATGATATATTAGTTTTTTTATTTTTAGGAAAGTATTTAAATATGGGAAACATCTGTTCAGTCTGTCGACGAAATCTTTCCTGTGGTCAGTAATTATCAATCATTTTTACTAAAATTCTTCCAACTATCCGATTAACTATGAATATTTTTAAGATTATTATTCCAGTTCTTCAACTACTTCCTTTAGTAATATTTATCCTAGAATAATATGATATTATTTTAAAAGTTTTTTTAATAATATATTTCTGGAATTTTTTGAAAGGACACAATTTCATCTGTAATAGTATGAGCTAGCAAACATAATACAAAAGAAATACAAAGAGTAAGTTTATTATTCAATGTATTTTTATATTATTTAATCTTGAGCTCATGTAGTTGTTATATCATTCTCGTATTATTGATTCAGAATTAAAATAATTAAATAATTAAATAAACTAACTGGGAAGAAAGAAATTATAATAATTAAGTATAAGAATATAATTGATATATAAAATTCAAATTTTGCATGAGACATGGAATTTTGCATTTATTATATGGAAATAAAATAGAAAAATGATTATCAATGATTATGATTTGATAATATATTATTATTAAAAAAGATTTATATTCAATATAAAAAATTTCCTTGCAAAGATCTATTATATTCCATTTTTAAATAATTTTTATTCTTTTATTCTTTTTTTATGTTTTCTAATTTTTAATACTTGTCTTAATTTCTTTCTTAATTTCTTTAAATTTATTAGCCTTATTTAATTTAATTTTTATTAAATTTTTTTTCTATATTTCAATCTTCCCTAATTTTCTATTTTTAAATTAATTTATTCTTATTATATTTTTTACAAATTTCAAAATACATAGTCAATTATAAAATCTTTATGAAAAGATCTTATAATCGTTTTTCAAATTATAATGTTTGATTAAAAATATATCTGTTAGAAAGATTATACTAGAAATACTATATATTATTTATATATTATCTTAATTTTCTTTTTTTATATTATCGTCTTTTTAAATTTCATTAATTTTTATTTTAAATTCTTTTATTACATTTCAGTTTTTTAAAATTTATTTTTACTGATTATTTTTTATAATTAATTTTTATATTAAATTAATTTTAACAATCTATTATTATTATATATTTTATATTGACAGATGTTTATAAGTTTTTGATTTTATAAAAATTTATAATTTAAAAGCTTTGAGAATCAATCAATATAAATTACATTCTCCGAAAATGATTTACATACAAAATGGCTTCAAAAATCTCTTTATTATTTCTTTTTCTTCAAACTTTCAATTAATAAATCAATTAAATACTATTTTAATAGTTTAATAATTAAATTAATTTGTTAATTAAATTTGTTGTTATATAAATTATAATAATATAATTAAATATATAAAAAGAGATTATGATCAAGTATCAAATTAAAATTGTTTTCAGAGGAGTGATATATAAAAGTGATTGATTGGTTTCCAATTAAAGTATATTATATAAAAT